AGAAATCAAAGTACAAATAGTCAAAAAATGACTTGAAAAAATAAATGAAAATGTAAAATAATCAAAGACCAATCATGGGACATATTTTAAAACCCTAGGACTGTCGCCAAGCATTCACAACACACTCTAACACATTCATAAGGTTTTTAGAGGGAAGAACATGACGATTGACATCAAGACATAAGGATTCAATTCAAGATTTAAATTGGTAATGTCTTTTATTTAGTATTCAGTTTGATTTCTTCTTCCCACCATGCTAGACTATATTTATTTGTTCTAGGAGAATGATGAACTATGTGATATGGCTTTTTAATCTTTAGTTTTACGTTCTTGACATTAAAACCCTTTTTGAAATTTGAATGGTTTATATGAAATTACTTTCTCCACAATTATTGTACACGTGATTGGGTGAATTTGGTGGCTTGTTTCATACATCCTAAAGAAAGGGAATAAGCTCGATACGATATAAATTTTTGTAGGGTCTAATAGGAGATAGAAATATACCTCTATGCTCTATGTGAATCTTTAAGTGTTCATAAAAATTAATACATTCTTGTAAATTTGCATCCGTCATAGAAATATAATCGGATCATATATGAGAATATGTTCAACATTACTCTAGAAAGATTGTTGAATATAATAGGAACATTGTCAAAATTCAACCATTGTTAAAGTGTAAAACTAAGTTTAAAATGGATTTGCAATCCTAGTATGTTTATCATTCATTAGAATACTTCAACTTGCATTTAAACACAATTTATATTTTAATTAAATCACTTATAATTACATACATAATTTAGTTTAGTTATAATTTGCATTACAATAAACACTCTCATTTTTATTGTTTCGGTTAAGGTTGCGGTAATCGAAATTGAACTAAATCAATTCCCATGGGACGATAATTGGACTCAACATCTAGTTTATTACTCGTTAACAAACAATACACTTGCAATATTTTAGATTGACATTTTTTTTTTTTGTGAATAGCTACATGGGCTCCAGACGAATAGAAGACGCCACGTTGAGTATAAAAAAATTACATAAAAATCTCACTTATTTTAAATATTGATTGAATAAAATTAACTTTCCTTCAAGATTTCTAATGATTTTATAGACATTCTCCTTTTTTCACCAAAATAATAATAATAATAATAATAATAATAATAATAATAATAATAATAATAATAATAATAATAATAATAAAATATTGCTTATTTTACGTTTTGAAAAACATGTACTTCCATTCATTACTTCCATTTTACATGTTAGTATAAATAAAAGTGTTCATACTTAAAACATTTTTATAAACTTTCTTTAATTTTGCAATTCATTAAACAATAATGTAATAATTAAAAAACCTCTTTAACACTTCTAATTAAATCGGCAATGAATATCACTTAGACCACCAATTCTTCAAAAGCACATAAAACAAATAACTTATGAGAGGTGTTCAAATACGTTTACGAATACGACAAGATAATGAGAACACTTCATTTCAGGTTCCCAAGCAAAGTCTTAAAATATAATTATGTGTCACTAATGAATTTCTTTAATCTACAATTTCATTAACAACAACTTCCATCTCTTGATGAATATTTCTTGAAGTAAGTCTCAATTCCTTGCTATTAAATTCATTCAAGGTTTTAAAAACTGTAGGACGAATGAGTTAAGTCAATAAAGAATCAGATTAACAATAATAATTTCAATTGCAAATGTAACTTAATACACGTTTCCCCTTTATATAATTTGAGAGCGCTACAAAAATTTAAACAAAATTAAAATTGTATACCTAACAATTTAATAAGTAGATTTTTCAAAAATTTACGTAATAAAAAGTTAAACTCCAACCTTGAGGGTCTCCACTGTCCCGCCCTTTGAACATTGTGAGGGAGGTAAATTGTAGGACGAGGTCGGGGAACAAAAGTTTGTCTGTATACTGGTACCCACAAAGAGTCCAATTTCATATTTCAGGAATCAAATCCTCACACTGCGGTTACCAGTAAGGTTGAAACTACCTCACTCGTATCCTTTGCACCACTGAACTATACCCCGAAGGTCTAATTTACATAATAAATTATAATGAGAACCCTAAATTATTGCATGCACCATTATAATTTATGAGTTTGCTTGGAGAGCTTGAAATTAAGTGATCGTTACTTTGCCATATATGCAAATATATTTTGAATACTTCAAAAACTTATTAAAAAAATTGATTTTATTGTTGGGTATCCACGATTTTGTTTCAAGAACCAAGAAAGACCTATATCTGATCCGTTCTCGGATTCAGTCCTAATTCTTTTTATTTTGGAATCAAACTAGAACCTCTAGCTCAGATCCGACTTCGATTTGGTTTCGATTAAAATGTCCACTTCTAACAAAATATGTGAATACAAATATTCCAATTTATATCTACACTATAGTCAATAGATTTTAGTTCACTTAAAAGTGTATCGGTTATATTTTAAGTAAACTTTTTTGTTTTCAAACATAATTGCATATTATCTCCTCTTATAAATAATTAAAAAGTTCTTTATTTTGCTATAAACGTAAAAGTAGTTTCAAAATATATGTTCAATTATTGAATTATTTACTTCTAAATAACCTAGCCAAACATCCCAGTCTATGGACATGATCAATAAATCGGATTCATCGGTCTTCGAGCATTGGCTTACAATCGCATGCCAAAATTGGTTTTACTGTTGATGCACTCTACACACAGCATACCAACAAGAGTAGGGCCCCTTGTACAGGGCTGTATACAGGGGGCCGAGTTGGCCCCTGAAATAGGTTGGGGGCTGACATTTTGTACAAGCAGGCCCTACCAAACAATTATATTTATGTAGAAAGTATTCTCATAATTGCACCTTTCTCTTTCTATCTTTATTAAAAAGGTTTAACCTCAACTTTGAGGGCCCTTATTGTCCTATCCTTAGAGTTTTGTGAAGAACGTAAATCACGAGATGTGCCCCAACAGGTTAGGGAATAAGAGCTGCTTATACACTGCGCCTACAAAGAGTCTAATTTCATGTCTTAGGAATCGAACTCTCACACTGCGACTACCAGTAAGACGTGAGATAACTTCGCTCCTATCCTTTGCACCACTAGGCAATGTCTCGGAGGACTTCTCTTTCTATCTTTATTAATAAGAGTCAACATTGAATGTGTGGTGCACGTTATTATGAAATACTTTATAAGTATTGTAAAAATAATATTTGAATATGCTTGAATGTTAATTAATTTAAAATTAATAATAGAGAATATATCCTTGACAATGAATGTTAAATCATTTATTTAATTTTTGATTAAGTAAAATTGGATGTTAATTAACATACATGGATGTGAATAATTAAATGTATTTTTGTATGTGAAATTTTAATTAACTTATTATTAGAATTACAGTGAAATGCATTAATAAAGATGAATATTAATCAGACGAATGTGAATATTAATTAATTAAGAATTAATAATAGAGAATTCATACATTAATAAAAGTACAAATGTAAAATGAATCTGTAAAATGTATATCTACATTGATAGTAACTAAATGATTAAATAAATTAAATTCATATTGAAAAACTAAAAGTTAGGTATTATTGAAATGATTGAATTATATTAGGGCTAGAATCGTTCAAAAAATAATTTTCACTTGATGTAATATTTAATATATTATAGATTATAAATGTATTGCTTCACCAATGACCATTTCTATCAAAATGAATTTTTTTTATTTTCTCTGTTCCAAAATTGAAACTAACGAACCATTTTTAAAAAACTTAATCCAGGTCATCTGATTGGAGGGAGAAAAAATATATTTTTTTTTCGATTTAATTTAAGATTAAACAACACTAATAAGATCTCTTTCTTGATGTAAAGCAACACTTGAACATGAGGACGTACGAGCATATCTCTTACCATCCTAATGAGTTCTTGATTTAACATAATACAAAATTAAAGATACATAGAGTTCCCAAAAATGAAAAATATCTAAAAAGAAATTAACGTCTCATTTGGAATAAATTATATGGAAGTCATTTTCTCACAAATTTATTTAAAAATTCTTTGATTTTAAATGATATTTTTTGTGTTAATTATTCTCTTATTAAATTGTCCACCTTTACATATTATCACCGAAATGAAAGTTTGATTTACACTAATGGTTCACGATGCATTCCCAACATCAAGATATAAATATGCCTTTCTAATGGTCACTTTCTCAATAATTCAATCTTGATTTTACTTAAACTTTGTCGCACCATCATCATTGTAATGTTAGTATTACATGTAGATTTTTGCCATTATCATAGGCCATCACGCTGAATTGGATAGTAATGAATATAATAACAAATATTTTAAGTGAATATTTTTTAATTGTGTCTAATCTATTAAAAGATTAATGTTTAAATAAATAAATAAAATATTTTAAGTGTATCCTTCTTAATTGTCTAATCTATTAAAATTTAAATAAATAATATATAGCCCTATTTGTTTCTCATTATTTACTCATTAAAATGAAAAATATTATCGTTGTTCATTACATTAAGCCACCATATTTGAAAATCTATCTCTTATATGGGGCTCGTAACGACTATATCGTTCTCATTCTTACATTAATGTGGCTCAAATGATCAAATTTGACTTGCATCCTAGATCGGTCTTTAGAACCTCCTCGGCTTCCATAACTTTAATTAATATGAAAGTGAATTCAAATTATATTGCTAGTAAGATCTGAATTTATTGTCAGTTGAAGACCTGATTGGAAATACATATTTTGAAATTTTGTTAACACGATTCAGCAAATGAGAACGTACAAATGTTTTATATTTAAATCTAACCACCTTGTGTATACAAGAAAAAATATATTCTGCTTTAAGGAGTTGATTAAATATAAAAATTAAATAAACAGATTAAATATTCTGCGTAGTACTGAGAGAATTCATCAAACTAAATTTATTCAATTGAAATGTAATAAGTATAGTCATCTAATGGTATTGATGCATAAATGGACATAAATGAGTACTCTTTCGTTTATGATTTCTCCTAGGAGGTGTCAATCAAAACGTACATTTTGTATGTACAAGTAGTTTAATCCACCATTTTGAGTAACAATCAAATTCCAAAATTGGAAAGCTATATCCAACAGTGAAATCAATCAAAAGCTATGGCTCCTAATGAGAATAAATATCAAAAGAGGTAAAAGGAAATTCTGGAATCAGATATCAAGAACAAGAAATATTTCTGTTACGCCAGACTTTTTTAAATCCACAAGAGGCTATAAGAATTTTTTCTGAGTTCAATTTATTCACCTGTGAACAAACGGCTAACGCGTTCCACTAATGCCTCGGCTGCAGCTTCAACCTGGGATTTGTAGGTGTAATCCTTATGACAAGTCCAGGAAAAACATCATCAGGGTCATGGATATGGGGGTTGCGCTCGACTATATACGGGTCACCACATTTATCACTGATGGTATGAAGGGTTTCTCCTTCTCGGACGACATAGATTTCGTCACAGGGTCTGTCTTGAAGTTGCCTTCCTCGTACAGGATTATTTGCAGTGCCATCTTTTATGGAGCTAATTAGAATAAGGGTTATCAGAGCAATGGCGCAGCACCATGATACTGTGTCGGCCATGGCCATTGAAGCTTTTATAGAAACCATGTTGATCGGAGTTGTTGGCCTACTCTTGCAGCTGACCACGATGTCGAGTTGAAAGAAGGGGTGGGGGTGG